ATTCCAGTGAAATATATTTATGTTTGTGGTTGTAATGTGACAAAATATGGAAAAGTTCAAGGGGTATGAATACTTTTGCAAACCACTGTAATACCACCTCCTCTTCTTCTTAGATCTCATGAGTCACGGGGAGCTTAGACCTTTATGTACTGAAAAACAGTGGAGATAAACCTGCTGTGCAGCAAAAACAAATTGATTTTCATAAACAAATAGGAAATCTTAAATCATACACATAGCTGGAAATGTTACAAAGCAACAAAATAAAAAACATGGTGATTGCCCAGTGTAAAGTTACCAATAATTGAGCTATTTGGTTATTAAACTTTAGTAATTGAACTAAATTAGGCTGACTGGAGTCCAGACACACAGTGAAAACAAGCCCCCTTGTAGTTTCTAGATTTAACATTTATTAGTGATTAATACCATTTTAACCAGAAATGAATCAAACTAACCAATTAATAGTTAGATTTAGTAGTTGTAACGTTAAGTTAGGATTATTTTAGTGAAATTTATTTTGTTTTAAAGACAACTTATTTTTTAGTGGACTTTGCTGTATTTTTCTGCCCTTCTTCACACAGGTGCGTGGTTCACTTCCCTCCTGTTAAATTATGATCTCATGAGGAAACACTGATATTACAGTAAACCAGGGCTTCAGGGAATGTTTTTGCTAATTGTCTCAACCATCAGTTCAGTATCATCACAAAATAAATCTAGCTTCAGTTTCCTTTTTCCTGATGAATATATACACACTTTAGACTGTGTTCATGCATACATAACCACTCCGTCCACTCTGACGTAGCTTCCATCATCACAGTCCCTGCACGCCATGCTGTGGTGCTTCTGCTTCCTGTTCTGTTTTCACCTGAATGTCAAACGGTTTCCCTGCCTCAGTTCAGTCCCCGTGGTCTCAGCTTTTCTCATCCAATCAATCTCCTGATCCGGTTGAGGTGATTTGCTGATTAACCAGTGATGTGGAGGAGTTAATGCTGCTGCAGTCAGCAGCTGTTGAGCCACATCAACGATAAAAAGAAATGAGAACAATGTAGAAACCTGCCGAGCAGTGGATTAAGTGGAGAGAAGAGGTTATTTAAGAAAATGATTCTTCTTTTAATGTTTTGTTTTTATCGTAGCCTTGTTATTTCTGAGTGTTGCTTGTTTTTGTTTTTCTGTTTTGGTGTTTGCGTATCTTTATGTCACGTGGCTTTTTGTCCTCCCCGTTTGGTTTGTCCATGGCTTCGCTCTATAGATCCCCGTATCGCAGTCCTCTGTCATGGATGACATAGAGGAGTGGCTCTGTGCTGACGTGGTGAGACTTCTTTTATACCTTGATTTATATTTAGTCACTCCTACCTTTTCTCCTTTTTACTTTTATACTTTTCGTTCGTTTCCTATGATAGCACATCTCCTCCATCCATTTCATGTAAACGCACAGTATTCTTTTGAACTTCACGTCCTTTTTCTTCACTATGCTCTTGTTTGTTCCACTGCTGACTGACACAAGAGTTTACCACGAGGTCTGACTTTAACGTGGTGCTAATGATAACTGATAACAGCTGCAGGGTTCTTTTTAAACATGAGCTAATGAAAGGTTTATGAGCTGCTTCGTGCGTACGTGTCGGCACGTTGGCGCTTTGCGAGCAGCAGGTTTGTGTGTGCGCTTGATTGAATTGTCAGATGAACGTACAGCTAAGATTTATGTCATTTGAAGATGGTTTTTCTTTAATTTTTTTTTGTTCTGTTTTCTGTTTAATAGAAGGGAGATGGCTCTGAGGAAGGGGTGACCAGTGAAGGTACTTGAAAGCACGTTCCCAGCCGCTCTGCGTTTTGTTTGTGTCCGAGACAAATCCGTTTGTTTCTTTCAGACTTTGATAAATTCCTGGAGGAGCGAGCCAAGGCGACGGACGCTCTGCCTCCTCCCCCGCCCGGGGCCGCCCCCGCTCACCCCGCACGTGCCTCCAGCGGTTCCCATAAGAAGGCGGAACGGACGGAGGACGCCCTCTTTGCCTTGTAGACGTGTCRTCAGAGAGCAGCAGGGCGTCTCTGCAGGTGGTCCCGAGCATCCCCCCGGTCCAGAACAAGCCCCTTCCTCGTCCCATTTCCTCGTCGACTGGGAGTGGCGTAGCGAGTGATCTCCACCTCCTTGTTCTCTTCTCGCCCCGACGCTCAAACCCGCAGAGGTCAAAGATGTTTACTGCACACTCTGCTGTGTTACATTTCGCTATAAATGGATGTATTAATCTGTAACGTGGGATGTACTACTCATGGCTCATTTGTAACACAAATGTTGACAGCCTAACTTGCCTCACGTGGTTTAAGAATGTGGTATATTACTGCAAGACGAATGAGGGGGATTTCTTCAAGCGTGCGTTCGACTTGTATGGGAGCACACAGTTAGAATGATAGTTATTTTTTACTACATTCACTTAATTGCTCATTTATGCTTTTACTGTTGTAATGGTTTGTTCTGGTTGTGTACTAGAGCTGGGGTTATTTTACTTTAGAACTGGAAATACTTCTTTCAGGACCTAATTATTTGCCCAGTTAGCCAGAAGCACTGCATGTACAGCAAGCTTTTTGTTACAAAAAAAATATCCAAAATCACATTTTATCTTGACGCATTAAGCGTTAACAGCATTTTTCTAACCAAAGGGAACGTAAAACTACAACGACAGTAAAATCAGTAATGTACAAAACATGCATTGTATTTTAAAATGCTAAAAGGGAAAGGCCATGGTTGTGGAATATTTCCATTTGTCTTTTCAGTCTATTGAAAGGCTACAAAAATGAAATGAGCGCTATATGCTTTTAATTAACTACAAGCACTTTCAGCCATTCCAAAGATTACTGAGGCTTTAAGACCAACTGTGTTAGTTTTAACTGTTAAGAGAAAAAAAAGGTTCACATGCAACAAATAGTTTTTCTTTCTCCTGTTTATCGTTTGCGCACTTTGAACAAAAAGTCATTTTGTCCTTTATGTTCACAGAATCCTTACCAAGTAGTGAAGTCGGATGGTTTTGTAAAGGTTTATGAAGTAGTGTTGAGACTGGATCCTTTTTAAGACTTCACCACTTTATTATTTTGGTTTCGCTCTCATGCAGATTAGCCTTTTGCTCGTCACTCACTGAGGTCGTTCAAAGCACCATCTGCAACGAGTAAGATATTAACTGTCCATAACCCTTTCACAGAACTCCACAAAGGATCTAAATTAGTCCATTTCATTTCAGTAAGAGACGCACCAGCATCAAAAATGTCTTAAAAGACAAAACTTATAAAAYATCTAATCCTAGATGTAGATCCTCACATACTTTGTTACTGTATACACCTCAAAATACATGAATTATTCTGGACCTGGTTAGAACCATATTGGCTTATAAGAATACATAAAATGTAGGAAAGCTCATTATTTTATTCCCCGRTTTTAGTTTTGGACCTTGTGTACATTTCGTCACTCATTTATTTTTGTTTATTCCAGTTCAAGGCATGATTTCCTTCATGCATTTGTACTTTAGTTTACCTTACCAGCTGCTGCCAAGTATTTCTGTCATGGACCATTTTTACAACAAGTAGATTGACCGCAATTTGTTTTTAGCATACACAGAATATCTGGGCGGCTGTGGTGGGGTGGTAGGACAGTCGTCCAGGGACATGAAAGTCACAGGTTCGAACCCCTGCCAAGCCCACATGTCGTGGTGTCGTTGAGGAAGACACCTAGTCCCTAAGCTCTCCGGATGCATACGTAGCTGCCCGCTGATCCACCTGGGTGCATCTCACGTGTGTCGAGTCAGATGTGGAGCACGCATTTTATCATTGCATGGGAACATGCATTGATGACAATGCATAGCATATTATTATTATTATTATTGATAATCACATATAAAGACATAAAAACAACACAAAAGCAAACCCCAAACTGCATTCCAGCTCTTTAAAGTTAAATATACCATGACTCAAGGYTAGTCTCCTTAACAACTTTTAAAAGATTAATCTTTGATCAAAGTTGCTGAATTAACAGTTTGTATCAGTATTAGAGAGAAATACTCATCATTTACTATCATTAACATAGATGCAAACAGATAAGTATCTATGTAATCATTACGATCAATATGGGTTTTAGTTATGAAAATGTATTTTGGAGCTTCAACGCTGGAATGTTATTTACAGATACATGTTCAATATGGTTTCCAGATTACTGATATTTAATAATTTTATTATTTTTTTAAGTTTGCATTAATGTTGCACATATACAGACACTAAAAATGTTAACAGAGATTATTTAAAATGGAACTTTAGCTATTTTCTGTGTTACAAAGTCTGTTACTGTTTTTGTTACCTGCTTTTATGATGGTTGTGTAATAAAATAAAATAAAATAATTCCACAGAAGTTTTGGTTGCCTGAAACGGACAAATGTCTTTAAAAGGGATGAGATGTGGAAATGAGGCCTGCTTTCTGTTCTTCGGTATGCCGTGTCCATCTGCTGCCATTACTTATGTACGGTCAGATTTGTGTTTGACTGACATTTTGCACGTGTGTAAAGGCYCAATAAAAGACTAGCAATGCGTGACCTCTACTTCACAACTGTTTTTATTTCACTTCAAACATGATGTGATGGTCTTCAGTTTTTGAATTCTTATACTGATGCAACTCAGCCTCAATCGTCTGCGCCTCATGAGCAAGAGTAAATACATGCGATGTGTACCGGTTATAGAAATGAACCAACAAAACAAGGGTTTGTGTTATTCCCATGCACTGACTGCAACTCTACACTAGGTCAGTGACCTATTTCCCAAAGCTTTTGTGCTGATCTGCATTGATGTTTATTTTATAGTTTGTTTTTATTTTTACATACATCATGTACTTGAAAGGGGTAAATGACATTCTTTATTGCTTTTTTTTTATTATTATATATATTTTTTTATTATTTCATTCCCGTTTGGGAAAAATACACTTATGTAAAGTATAAATATATTGTTTTACATGATGGAGATTTATTTATTTATTTAGTTTTTGCAACATAAATTACTTTAGTGTAGTTGTATATAAATATATCTAATATCCACTTTACAAGACAGAAACACATGATGTAATCGCTGGACACAGGACTCCGACGTCAGATCACCCCACTCGGTTTCTGAGCTCCTGATTGGTCGATTTTACTGGTTCTACGGGAGGAGCCGCAGAGTCGGGTCAGACAAGCTTGGCTGTTAAACAATCCCGCCTACTCAGCTCTGATTGGCTGTTGAAGGGGCAAGCCTACAATAAACATAACCACGCTGTTTCTATCAAAATACACATTTAGGTAAAATGTGGTTGCCATAAGAATAATCTTGCATAGTATGATGGAAAATAGCTCTGATTAAAAAAAATAAAGAGAGGGATTATTTTAATGCCTTTCGCCCCAAACTATTTTCTGAATTCATCAATAATAACTTTTTAGAGTCTTGTATAAGTTTTATATTAGGGTAATATCGGGTTTTTTTCATATAAAAATTAGATCATTTACTATATTTTCTTTTACTACTCTCTTTAACAATCAAAACAATGAGAAACGGAACGTGGGAAATGACCTTCAAGGTTTCTGATTGGCTGGTGTAAGTGTCAGTCATCAGGGGCTGGACGGGTTTCTCCGGCTCGTGCCGTCAGCAAGGTAGTGCTGAATGAGCTTCAGTGTTTGGCTCGTTTTCACAAGTTTCCCAAAGCCGACTATGGAGTTTGGATTGGGGCGTTATAGCTAACACTGAAGTAAAAGGTTGAAGCGTTTTTTTTTGTACGTGTTTCGGGAATATCTGGAACACGACACTTTGTCAAATGTAGGGCCGTGGAAAGTTAAGGATTTTTTTTAACTCCCAGATCAGTCAGTGAACTGTAGAGAACCAGACAGGAGAGCGAAGATGAACCGCTTGTCCTTTGACGATCCTTCGTTGGATAACCTGGATCCAACACTGTCGCTTCATGACCCAAGTGATATTGACACGGCTCTGCTGAGCGACATTGATGGTAAGAAGATGCATAATTGTGACTGTTGAAATAAAAGCGCTAAAACAACTCCACTGTTCGGACTTGTGCATAACATCCATGGTGTTTGTGTCCTCCATTGTGTTACATAAACATTTAAAGAACAAAGTAACCATTTCACGGTGCATCTTTGTTTACACTTGCTATAGTTTATTAGCTAGCTAGGTTATGTGGGCTTAACTAAACCAATTGTTTGTAGCACTAATTTCAATACACTTTTATTGCTGTTTTTGTATATAATGTGTTTGCTATAACTCTACTGAACAAATAATATTAGAAATAGCGTGGGCTAGCTATGAGGCTAATGTGTTGTTAGCGCGCCCCGCCTCCAGCGTGCTCCACAGACCGAGGTTACTACAGTTCATTCCTCTTTTTCTGGGGTTCAGCCGCCTCATTTGACCGAATTAACCGACAAAATGTGTCTTGTTTATTTAAAACAGCACAGTATGCTGTCGCGGACAATTGTTTCATTCAARAGTTAAGGTTTACTTTTACTGCTCGCGCAGCTCATTTAATCATTAAAGCACCGTGCGCGTGAAAATGTTGCGCGTCAAGTGTGGTTGCAAATCAGTCGTTTCTTTTAACAGCCCGTGTGTTTGTGTTTTATCATAATTGCCGACGTGTAGTTTGATAAGCCGCGCGTTGTGCGTTTGACCCAAACATTTCCTGCGCCCTAAATTTGACCGGGTGTAACCTTTTGGTGAGGATGCACGATAGTAACCTCGCTTTGCTATAGCGAGTCTGAGAGCCGCGCTCTGATTGGTCGAGAGCGATCACCTCATACGCAACACTGGTTCTCTCTCACACACGCACGCACGCACGCACGCGATAGGGAATCTATTCTGGTCAACTGAAGTGTTGAAAATCATGAATAAACAATAAGTACTGATTGCATAGGGTATGGCAAAGTGAAAGTTCATGTTTTTGTAAGTTTTACTTATTAGCAGCCTTGTAAAATTGTTGTTTTTGAATTGCATGTATTTATTTTACAGGGGATAAAAAAGCAATGTCATAAAAACCAAAAGAAGTTGTTTTTTTAATCTAGTTTATGAATGGCATATACTGTAAGTTATACCCACTTGCTTTAGCTGGTAGTAGGGATTTAAYCAAAACAAACACATTTAAAAATATTTACCAGAACACCATCTGAGTTGATTGTTGGTTTGAATAATAATAATTTGTTTATGTTTGACATTACACTGAGCGCAAGGTGATTAGAGACGACTGTGCAATTTTCTGCRCAGCGAATAAAATCTGCATTGCTGGCCACCAAAGACAAAAGGCCYGTTATAATGCTGTCAGATTTACTGATATTGAGCTAAAGTTTGATGTAGTAGCAGCTGAGACTCATCATCAACACATACTTTAAGCACTACCAGTTCTCACACTATATCACCTTGCACATAACACCATTTATAAGGTTTGCCCAAACCTAATATAACCCCATCTGTAATGAGATGATCATAGTTTAAAGCTTTGTCATAAACGGCTGCAGGCAATATGCATTCCTTCAAAAAACTCTAACAATTCTTAGAAGTTCCACCTTTATTTTACATTATTTATTTTAAGTTAAACTTTTGAGCAAACTCAATGATCTGTTTGAACAGAAACCTCGTGTCTTTAAATTAGTGATGTACAAATAACCAGCAATTTTCATGAAAATACAGGAGAGTCAGTGCAAAAGATGTTGCAGTCCTTTGTGAGCTGACAACAAACTTAATGACAAAATCGTATTAGTTCATTTTATTTAAATGGATTGGGCTTTTCTATTGATTCTGTGATCAAAACATGGATGTCTCTGACTTATTTTTCTTTGCAGACATGCTTCAGCTCATCAACAACCAGGACATGGAGTTTGGTGGCCTCTTTGATCCCAGTACCTTCTCAGCAGGACCCCCCACACAAGAGACGATTGGCTTGTCACAGACCATCACCGCTGCCCCTCCAGCTACCACCTCAACACCTACGTCTTCGTCTGCTTCCTCCATCCTAAGCAACAACCCCCACCTAGATGCTCTCTTGGGCCCCCCCATCACCCGGAGCTCCTCCACCCCAGACAAGACCTTCCAGCCTCCCACCTTTCAGCAGTCTCCCCTGTCCCATGTACCCATCTCCACCCCGAGGCAGCAGCCGTCCTCGACGCCGCGGTCTCCGAGCCTCAGGCAGCCCCAGGTGGAGCAGCCCCAACCCGCTGTCAGTTCGTCTGCCCCGGCACAGGCGGCTTCTCCTCACGGTTCACCGAATCCAGCGTTCAGCTCCACCACACAGGTGTTCTTCGCCTCCGCTGTGCCTCAGACCCCACCTCAGCCCCAGTCACAGACACCCCCACCGCAAAGCAGCTTTAAGAGCCAAATTAGCTGCACAGGTGAGTCCTCTTTAATGGCAACGATCACTTCCTAGAGGAAGTGTGGCTTTAATGGCTGGGGAACAAAAAAAACAAAAACAAAAAAACAAAAGCCATTGTTTTAGAATAGACGCAGTGAATTTAACATTTGTTATTGTTGTTTTGTTCAAAGTGTGAGCATTCAATGTGCCGCCTTCAAGTCTGATTACTCAAAACAGAAACCTTTAGAGTTTAACACAGATTTAACAAGTGAAACTGTTTGTGTCCAGTGAGATGGCTCTTATATCAAGCGAGGCCAGTAAGTAACTCTGCCTCACCTGATCACATTTTAATCTATTAAACCTTATCAGCATTAAGTGCCCCTGCGGCACAACGGTGTGTATATGTGTATATGTGTGTGTGTGTGTGCGTGTGTGCGTGTGTGTGTGTGTGCGCGTGTCAAAATGGTCTTGGAATGGCTCAAAGAGCACAGTAGACCATCTGAGGTGATCACCTGTGTATGTTTGATGGCACCTGTCATGTTTTCTATATGCAATAAATTTTTATTACTCTGTAACAAGATCCAACAACCCTGATAGAGGTGTGCAATCATTATCTCTGCTGCGTTTGATAAGAATTACAAGATGACTCACTGAATGTTGTCATCGGGACTTTATAAGTAGGTCACGGGTCACCRGTTTGCCTATGAACCCACAGACAGAAGTCTTTATACCAAGACAGGATCATGGTTGGTGTGAAGATTAAAAGGGAGTTTAATGGAAAATTGGAGTTCTGATTATTTTAATTAAAGTGGGTCCTGCTGTCACAGTGTAAATTTTGTTTGTGCGTAAATATATACCGGTATATATATTTTTTTACAAAATTGTAATTTTCATAGATAAAATGATGACAAATGAGGATGTCCGTGTTGTTTTATTATGACCCCCGCACGCGAAGCGTAAGGGGGAGTCATAATTGTTTTTGTACTTTTTATTTGTTTATTTTTTCGGTGATTTTTGGTCAACCGTAGCACAAAAAAGGCTGCACCGATCAACATGAAATTTGGCAGGACTGTAGATGAGTCTGACCTACACTGCGCCAGCCAACGGTTTTATGATAGACCCCATATGTGAGGAGGGGGCTCCTTTCAAAGAGGGGGGTGTCAGGACATATGAAAGGCTTATAACTGAGAAACCGTTCAATATAAAAGCTTCAAATTTCTTTTGTTGTTTAGCTCTGATGAAGCTCTATCCATCAGGCTCACCAATCAGTGCCCCCCCCCCGACCACCAATTTATCTGAAAAAGTGGTATCTGGACATACAAAAATGGTTATTGCTCAAAAAACTATTAAGCATTAAGCATCTGTCATGTTTTTATCAGTGACAATTAGCTTAGTGCGTTTCTTTAATGGCATCTTAATCAAATCAACAAGAGAAACCTTGTGTTTAAAGGTTCTTCAGCTGCAGGTTTCTTTAGTTTAGCAGGATGTCAGTCATGTTAGTTTAATCCGAATTGTTTTTTGTCTAACCTATTGTACAATTATGATCTTTATTTGACAAAAAACAGTGAGTTATGTTGTCTATTATCAAATTAAAGTCAGATTTGTGTTGAATTGCTAACATTGTTATGTTAGAATAGTTCAGTTATTAAACCTTTAATGTTTTTAAGAATGGGATCAGCTTCTGTTTACATCATAACACAGCAGCTGGTTTACAGTCCAGTTCAGTGCAAATAGCACAATGCAAAATGTGATTGTTGAATAGTTTATTTATTTTATTTTTTTATTGATCTTTGTGCCTTCTCTGTTTTGCAGCTGGCAGCCCCAGCAGTGGGAGCACACCCGTTTGCTCCTCCCCTCCCAGCATCCAGCCCGTGACCATTCAGACTCCCCTCCAGGGGCTGACCACGACCGCTCCCCTCCTGACCACATCAGCAAGCCCTCCAGTTCAAACCATCGCACCCCAAGTTCAGCAGGTTCCTGTAAGCGTGTCGTTCTGAGTGCGCTTGAATAAAACGAGTGCACCGCTGTGTTTGTTCACGTTTTCTGATCATCTCTGTCYCTCTCAGGTGTTGCTGCAACCCCAGTTCATCAAAGCCGAGTCACTGCTGCTCACTACTCTGAAACCTGACCCCTGTTTGGTCACAACTGTGGCCTCTCCCACATCCCTGGCCACCACCAGCGCAGTTCAGAGCACCTCGCTGCAGGTTCGCACGTCTGACTTTCCACCATGAAATAATTACCRACACTGTGATTCATAACTAACTTAAGCTTTGTGCATCTCTTAGGCCTTTATGGGTGGGGGCACCATYCTGACCACAGTGCCTGTGATGGTGGATGCTGAAAAGCTGCCTATCAACCGCATTGCCATCGCTAGCAAGCCAACGGGCCAGCCACACAAGGGGGAGAAGCGCACGGCTCACAACGCGATCGAGAAGCGCTACCGCTCCTCGATTAATGACAAAATAGTGGAGCTGAAAGACATGGTGGCTGGGACTGAAGCCAAGGTGGGAAACTGTTTATGACACAAAAWATAAAATTACTCCATTTTTTTCTGTTTATACCAAACAAAACMTATGATTGGGCTTACCTGCTTTAGTGTAGTTGGTCTGCAGAGTGCACAATACATGGTGTGAGCACCGCCATCGTGACATCAGGCAGATTAAATCAACATGTGAACTATAGGCTATTGCACTAAATGATTGTCAATGTCAACTTTATTTATAAAGCGCTTTTAAAAACAGCTAATAGCTGCACTAAAGTGCTGTACAGCAATCTACAAATATCACAAAAGCACATTAATTGCTAAAAATACATAATAAATTACAACCAACAATAGTAAGAACAGATAAATTACAATGCCAGGTCTTASTTTAATTAAATGCCTTTGAATAAAAGTGAGTCTTAAGAAGCACTTTGAAGTTTTCCAAGCTCTGAGCAGATCTRATGTGAAAAGGCAAGTTGTTCCATAGATTGGGAGCAGACACAGCAAAAACACGATTACTACTCTTAAATCTGGATCTTGGAACATCTAGAAGCATCTGGTTGTTTGACGTCAATGTTCTATTGAGGATCTATGTTGGTTGTGTGTAACCGATTTTATTTTGATGGGTTGCTTTCGCCAGCCAAATCAGTTACAGGTGGCTTTGTGAAAAAAAAATTGTTGTAAAAGTTCTGGGACAATAATGGCAGCATTTTTCGGAAAAGTTTTGTCGGTGAATTCTCGAGCTGTGGAGGAAGGATCTTGACAAAAACGAGGAGGAAATRAGGTCAATTATTGTTTAGCATAAAAGCTAATATTAATGTGACGTAAACAGGAAACGAGGTGTCAGTTCAGATGGAGCATGCAGAGGCCTTCACTGTGTGTTTTTACTGAATGTTTGTTCTGTTTGTTTTTGTTGCAGCTCAACAAGTCTGCAGTCCTGAGGAAAGCCATCGACTACATCCGCTACCTGCAGCAGGCCAACCAGAAGCTCAAACAGGAGAACATGGCTCTCAAAATGGCGGCTCAGAAAAACAGTACGCACATAAAACCTTATTCTTTCTGTGTTCTTCAGCAAACAGTCATCTTCATTCAGACCCTTTGGTCTGCTGATAGCCAACATCATATTTCTGTGGACTGTAGTTTGAAGCTTCTTATTTTTTTTGAATCACTGGTTTCCTTCATTCTTTTAGAGTCTCTCAAGGACCTGGTTGCCATGGAGGTGGATGGACAGGCAGAAGTGAAGAATGAGCTGCCCACTCCGCCGGCCTCWGATGTGGGCTCCCCAACCTCCTTCTCACACTGCAGCAGCGACTCAGAGCCCGACAGTCCGATGGGAGAGGACACAAAGGTATGCAGTGAATATTCAGGCTGCTCGTGCTGTTTTACATCAGATGATGTCATCATCTSATGGGCTTCAGGGCTAAATAAAGCTACTGGATTTAATGCAGCCTCATAAAGATGTTTCTTCTTGTCCAAACAAGGGACAGAAATCCAGTGGSGACTAAAATAACAGTTGTTTTTTTATTTCTAATTGTTCCTTGTGTTTATGTTGATGCTTACAACACTAAGCATGTTGGGGATAAAGCTAGCTGTTATRTTTCTAATTCTACAAACAAAACAAAGTGAAATTAACTCCATCAAAAGCTTGAAAATATACCTGGAAAATGCTTAAAATGGTTTGAGWTTGACTTTGAGGAACATTCAGGAACTCTGAAAATACTGTATAAAGTTGTTGATTTGGTAGATTTCAGACGGTATATTTATTTTATGCATACTGGTATACTAGGTAAAATCCAGCAATTTTTACTTTTAATAATGAATTTCACCAGTATTTGATATCTTTTTAGACCTCCTTACTCTCGTACAACTCAAACACAGTTTAGTGTTTTATACAGAGGCTCAAAGATAAGAACAGTCTTCTTACATCCCTCAGAGGTGTCTAAAGAACAGTTTAAACAGAGAGTCGAATTATTGCTTTTAATATGTTTGAATTTTCCATATGGGTTTGTGTATTAAATGCTATTAGTTGTTTATATAAAGAAATGTGTGTTTTATATAATAGGTAAATGTTTTTAAATTATTTGTTTTATGAAGATCGCCACTTATTAAGCTCATTGAGGGTTTTTGGCAATTCTCCATCACATTGGTTTTTATGAAATATAATAATTGTGAAATATACAATGTTGTTTAGTTTAGTTTTTTTTTTCTATGTATTTTTTTATTGTGAAAATAAAGAAGTATTTTTTTTTCTGTTTCTCTACTCTGGCAGCCAAGTATTGGCACGTTGGATCAGTCTGCAGCAGGCGGCGGCGTCAGCGGCATGTTGGATCGCTCCCGCATGGCGTTGTGTGCGTTCACCTTCCTCTTCCTCTCCCTGAACCCCCTGGCTGCTCTGCTCTGCTCAGCTGGCAGCAGCTCTGCAGGGAGCACGGCAGACGTCACCCATCACGCCAGCAGAAGTGTCCTGGGCGTGGATATGGCCGGTATGAAGGAACACCTCGAAATGGAAATGTTACAGTGTGTTGTTTGACGTGTTCAACGAGAGGCTCTGTGTTGCCATCAGCTGACTCGTGGAGTTGGATGGACTGGATGCTGCCAACTATTTTGGTGTGGCTTCTGAACGGCATCCTGGTCTCGGGAGTTCTGATCCGGTTGTTGGTTTACGGAGAACCTGTCACCAGACCACACTCTGGATCATCGGTTTTGTTCTGGAGGCACCGCAAACAAGCAGATCTGGACCTTGCTAGAGTAAGTTTGTGTTCTTTGTTTCTGGTAAACTCATTAAACGTATCATAAAACCAAACTCACCGTCACTCTTCACCTCCTTCCCTTTTCCATCACAGGGAGACTTTGCTCAGGCCAGTCACAACCTGCGAACCTGCCTGAAGGCTCTGGGGCGCCCGCTGCCCACCTCTCAGTTAGACCTGGCCTGTGCCGCGCTCTGGGCTCTGCTGAGATTCTGCCTGCAGCGCCTCTGGGTCGGTCGCTGGCTCGCCGCCAAGGCTGGTGGGTTGAGGAGTGATCGCCCCCTGCAGGAGGACGCGTGCAAAAGCAGCCGGGATGCTGCGCTGGTTTACCATCGTCTGCACCAGCTTCACATGACAGGTGGAACTTTGAAATGAATTCCACATGTATTGTATTGTTTTCTTGACGTATATCTCACATATAATCAATTCTTTCTTTCACTTTTTCCATTACATTGTAACTTTTCTTTGCTTTCTTTCTTTTTTCCCCCTTTCTTTCTTCTTCTTTCTTGTCTATCTATTTAAAAAGCCACTGATGATGAAGAAGCTAAGATACTAATAGTCAGATATTCAGTACTGCTTTCTTCTGAGTGGCAAAAAAAAAAAAAGAAAAAGAAATGAATTCCACTAAATGTAGATGCAGTGCAATAATCATATTCATTTAATTAAAATGTGTTTGCTAATTCTTCATTCGCACTATGATAAAGCATTATTGTAAGGTTTAATTTGTTATTAAAACATTATTATTTGTGTACTCAAAGGTAAGCTGAATGGCAGCCACCTGTCAGCAGCACACATGGCTTTAAGTGCGGTGAACCTGGCAGAATGCGCCCGCTCGTGTCTTCCTGTAGCCTCTCTGGCTGAGGTCTACGTCTCTGCAGCGCTGCGGGTCAAAGCCAGTCTGCCGAGGATCCTTCATTTCACTTCTGTAAGTCTCACGCGTTCATGTGTGCACAAATGTCTTCCTTGGTCATTTATTCTGTGCAGATTGAGCTTGGATGCTGTTAGACACAAGTATTCACATGTGGTGGTCAGTGATGCACAACATAAACTGTGGTTCTAAGTTGACGTGATTTCTCTGTGACTTTAGTTGTTATTAAGTCGACCTTAAGTGTCCTTTTGAATTCCTCCAAAGTTGGACCATGAGACGAATGTCATTTTTTTTAAGAGCATGGGTTTCTTTTTTTCTTAATAAAAATGCATGGTCAAAGCCAAAAGACACAGCCATCAGAATAAATAATACATAATGCTGTTTTTAATGGAGCACACAGATTCCTTCCAGCTGCAAGCAAAGCTCTTATTTTTCTCCCCAGCGTGTCTCCAAGTGCGCTGATTAATTTACTCAAACTTATAACAGAAAGAAAGGATGGCAGCGGCTTATGTTCAGAAAATACGTTTATTTAAACAATAACCACAATGATGGGGATGGAAACAGAGACTGGCTTTTTTTAAATTATTTTTTACTCCAGTATAACTGTGTTTTAGTTTYAGTGTTACTGTCTTTCAGATTTGGCTAAGTGTGAAAACACAAACACAAAATTAAACAAAAGCTAAACTATAAGAACGATCTCCTCCAGCTAATGTCTGCTTCCATTAAAAAAACAAACAAACAAAAAAAAACWCTGCTGCTGTTTTAAGTCTTTCCTTTCTGAGCGATTTGGTGCATACAAAATTAAATGAATAATCCAAAAACAATATAGAATCAAAACAAGAAAAATGGGGAAATTATAGCTTTCAGATAAAGCTTATAAATTCTTTGAGAAGAAAACAAGCATGTGTACATTGTTGAGTTTTTTAAAAAGTSCAAACGTCACCTGCACAGATGTGTGTGTGTGTGTGTGTGTGTGTGTGTGTGTGTGTGTATGTGGGGGGGGGGGGGTATTATACACAGGTTATTTATTGATGATTAGATTTTTTAAAATGCTTTTTAAGCTTAAAAAAAATCTGTATTATACTCGAGATCGTATTATACATGAATAACTACGGTAGGTTACATATGGGCCAGCCTGAATCTCCTCTCTCCTGACAGCGAGTGTTCCTGAGCAGTGCCCGCCAGGCGTGCCTGTCCTCCAGCGGCAGCGTGCCTCCGGCCATGCAGTGGCTCTGTCACCCGCTCGGCCACCGCTTCTTCGTGGACGGGGACTGGGCTATCCGCAGCACGCCTAAAGAAAGCATCTACAGCCAGGCTGGAAACACTGGTAGGCGTAAATCGTACTTACTTTGTAGAATCGTCTTGAGAATGTCCCGTCTGAAATGCGTTTGTGTGGTAAAAGTCTGGTGTTGCTCTGGCAGTGGACCCTCTGGCTCAGGTGACCCAGGCCTTCAGAGAACACCTCCTAGAAAAGGCTCTTTACTGTGTGGCCCAGCCTCACGATGAGAAGAGGCCCAGCCAGGGTGAAGGGTAAGAAACAAGTTGATTGAGACAAACAGAACAGGCTGTTGGCTAACGCTGCTTTTMAAGTTAAAAACAAATGTTGCAACAGCCGTTAAGCCTAAAACATGTCTGTCAACAGGGAGTATGCTGACGCCCTGGAGTACCTCCAGCTGCTGATCAGTGCGTCAGACGCAGCCGGGGCCACCTCCCAGTCCTTTGCAATCGGCTCCAACATGGCTACTGTGACAGGTTGGTCACCTCCACTCCATTTGTTGCTTTATTCACCAGGGAAAAAAATAGATTCACAATCTCATCCTTTCATCCTCGTTTGACACAGCTGTTTGATTACCTCAGTGTGCTTTCAGAATTATAATGGAAAAAAATGAGACATCGTCCCTTTTTTTTAAAACTTTCCTTTGTAAATCAGGACGTGTGATTTCCGCGCGTCTCTCAACACTTTCTTTTGTCTTCACTAATCTAAGTGAAAAGGGAGGAGGGGTGTGTAGGTGAAGGGAGGCATCTGCTAGATTGCTTCATTTATCTTCAGCACTGTCAAATCAGTGATCACCTTCAGAGGATGTGCAGGGATTTAATAAGAAACTTTTCTTGGCAGGGTCTCAGGTTGTGTGTGTGTGTGTGTGTGTGTGTGTGTGTGTGTGTGTGTGTGTGTGTGTGTGTAATAGCTTTACCTGTTAAAATGATTGTAAAGATTACTGCTTATGATTATTTCAGAGGAGCAGCTATTTTTGCATGTACACCATCATAAGGCATTGCATGTAAATGAGGCCTGTAGGGGATGTGTTTTTGCATAATCGCGTGTCTGAATTGGGGTTGGGAGATATTGGCAAAAGAGTTAATCACGATTAATTGTGGCATTTAGCTGATTAAACGATTTTATATGACGATTAATCCCCTGGAGTCTCTGGACCTCGGCACGTACCAGTCCCATGACCGATTTAAATCGCTCTTGTGGGCAAGATACGGTACTCTCTCTCTCTAAGAATCTGTTCCAGTTTGTTTTAAATTGTGTTCATTGTCCAAGTAAAAGCAGCACTGTGATAAATAATTGACCGTGTTTTTTTTTTCTTTTTAATGTTCGTCATATTTGAATCACGTTGCAGCGAGAGGCAGTGAAAGACGGGCAGATTCGTGGAAAAAAAAACGCCTCAGTCCATCCAGCCTAATTTCAATATAATCCCCAAACTTCTTTCTGACTGACGCCTGAAATTAGTGCCAAAAAATCTGCAGGAAGACGAAAATAAAAAAAGATGCAAACGTTGAATGAAGCTCGGCGGTGATACARCGAGAGCGGGAGTGAGCAATGAGCTTTATAATRTTTARTGTTTGGATTTTATAGTCAGGGTGTAGCTCAGTGTTTACATCAGTCAGYTCTAGTGTCTTTGAGCCAAACAATAACCTGCGAACATGTTTCTGATGATTAGTGGCACACGATCCCCTCGTCTGAAYGTACCGTGTTTTTGACTCTRGTCTCTCTCCGTTCTCAGGTTGTGACCCCCACTCCAAGTGGTGGTCGTCAGTGGCCACAGTGATCATCAACTGGCTTCAAGGGGAYGACGCTGCTGCAGAGAGACTGTATCCCACCGTGGAGCACCTGCCCTGCAGTCTGCAGAACGCAGAGTGAGTTAGGAGTTCAGCATTCAACATTTGCTCTCACACACCTGCACTGCTTTAACCCGTGTCCTTTGAATTTTTAAAATGTCCCCCACCCCGCCTCGTTCTGGCAGGAACCCTCTGCCCAAAGCGTGTCTGAACACATTCAGGGCGGTCAGGGCTCTGCTGTTCAAGCCAGAGAACTGCCAGCTGAGTCTGAGCTTCACTGACAAGGCCAGCGTCCTGCTCCGAGACAGCCTCAACATGGGACCACACAGCCACAGCTCCAGTTTAGACAAGGTACACACACACACACACACACACACACACACACACACACACACACACACACACACACACACACAGGAAGACGAGGTCTTTTGGATTCACACACACAAATGTTGAACTGATGTTTGACTGCGAGGTAAACAAAGCCATGGACTTGAGATTTACAGATCCCACTGTGAGATGCTGCAGTGTTCTACCCAGTGGTCTTCARCAGATGGTGATTCTGGTGGATAGGCAGCTCGAAGTGCATGCATGTTTGTGTGTGTGTGTGTGTGCATGGCCAGAGCTGCAGTGCATTGTAGTTGCATTGCATGTGTGTCTTAAAGGAGTGCAATGTACCTGCAGTGCAATACAGCGCTGGGCCACAAACAGCAGAACACTCTGGATGAGACGGATTTTATGTCAAGATGTTTGTTTTCCTGATTTTTCCAAACACGTTTGGGTCTTTTTCTACGGCACTAACAATCTGATTTATAAACGAATCCTGGTGATTTTTTTTCCTTCCCAGGTTGTTGAGTTGTTGGTGTGTGATCTCCTGTTGGTTCTGAGGACAAATATCTGGCATGTGCAGCAGCAAGGGGCGAGTCCTACAGGGCTGGGGCCGGCAGGGACCACCGGTCCTGCGAGCCTTCATCAGGCCTCACCACCTGAACTTCAGGGCTTTCAACAAGACCTCAGCTCCCTGCGCAAACTGGCCCAGGGCTTCAGACCTGCCATGAGACGGGTAAGTGATGGTGACAGTCACAAGATTTTAGCTGTTCGTTTTAGTGCAGCACAAAGGAATTTGAAGGAGACCCGTGGTCCAAACATCCAGTCACAACAATCTACCTGGGAAATGATTGTAAATGTACCATATCCTTCTGAAATGATGAAATGTTATTTTTTTACATTTGACTGAAAAAGTAGCCAAAGTTCAAAGAAAAACCGAAATACCTTCATAGAGCCTGAAGAGCTCTATGTTAGCACTTTGAAAGTGACACGGCAAGAATTGAAAGACGGCTCAAAACTTTTGCACATTACTGTATAAGGCAGAAATGAAAAGAAGTGTTTTCTTCAAAGATATACAGAAATTATTGTTTCAGGCTGCAGTTCTCAGTAAAAAGAGAATATTGGAACACACACACACACACACACACACACACACACACACACACACACACAC